AATATAGGTATAGATATTTATTCAATGTAGGTATCGCAGATTTTAAAAGTACAGTAACATTGTGACAAAAGAAAAATTACGTTGAGCCAGTCTTATCTGTTTGGAAAGATGTTATAGCTGAAGATTATAAAATCAAGTAGGATATTATTATTTACTAGTTTTAAACCGTGAAAATTTCACGGTTCTTTTATTTTAAATTTCTGATGAATATTAATTCTTCAATTAATCAATGAATAAGCTCATGGTGAGTTCTACCAGAATAAAATGCCCTTAGAAATTCCCCTATCGCATCGTTGAATATTTGGCCTTAACAACTTTTACAAACATATTGCGGTAAAAACTATAGATATAAATTCTGGTCGTAATTTTAAGAACTAAGGTGGTACATATTAAAAGATTTGAAACTGACAAGCTTTCTGTCTCACTGATGCAGATGTTAAACACTTTTATCTTGCCTTCTTTCTTTCATTTTCTCAGTGAAAGCAAGTAACGTCTTTGATATGTCTTTTGTCTTCTCACGTGATTAAAATAGAATAGTCCATTATTTATGAGGTATTAGCAGGAGAAGTTAAGTAATTTATTTCACTGAAACCAAGTAGCGTTTCTGATACGACTGTTCTCTTTCCACACGGTCGAAACGGAATAGTTCATTATTTTTGTGGTATTAGCAGGACGTAACGGTCGTGCGAACTTAGGAAGGGGGAGATAAGCATAATTATTTTATTGATATTTAATACCAAATAATTTCCAAAGTTCTTTTCTAATGTAGTAAACACATACACACACATAAGTCTTACTGTTAAGACCAGGTAGCTTGTGACCAGACTAATAATTCACTAAGACGTGTCTCTGGTTCAGGAGACACAGGACCTGTTGCCAAGAGGAAACAAGCCAGTGGTTGGTTCTTATTCTTGGTCTATTTGTGAAGCGATCAAGGAACTACACAACTTCCAGTGCCTTGTACCTCTTAAGAAATTTCGTCTTAACCTTCTTTATACCACTTGCCTTTAATATGTCCTGTTAGTGCCGAATTTTCTAAGCGTTCTTTCCCCAGTATACGCCACAGAAACATCAAGCGCACATTTCTGGTGTAAACTATGAGCGTCTTTTTTGTTACCATTTTCTCTAAAATGTTGTAACTGGCATGTTCAGTGCATGATATTCTCGGCATTCTGTATCACTATATTTCTGTTGCCTCATGACTTTACTTCGGGTGCAATAGCATATAAAAAGATGGGCTTTACATAACTGATCAGTAATATGTGACACTATTGTGACACTGGTAGTATGAAATTGCAATTAAAAGAGTTCATATAAAAACCCAGAAAAAGAAATGAAAAATTGGAAGGGGTAACAACTTTAAAGTGAAAACATGGATTGAAATATGAAGCGAGTGAAAAATATTTCTGATAACCAGAAAGGCAGAATGTATTTGGGGAATGTAAAATGTGACTGCTTGTCAACTGAATGGCAAACAGAACTGTTATGATTCGCAAAGCTGATAATATAAACAATCTGAAATATGGTTGTGTAAACATGTAAAATCCGCTAAAGATTTTAATCGATCATATTAAAAAGCAGACAACAAAGAAAATTCTTTGACATCAAGGACATAGGAAATAATTTATAAACACTAAGTTTATTATCGGAAAAGTTATTCTTTGAATACGTAAGCGATCGCGGACCTATAGTCGTCAGGATATAGGAAGGAATGATAAACAAATTTATTACCGAAGTATATATTGTTTTGAAAAACTGATCGCTTTCTTAGAAGATCAGTGTCGCGTCTCCAAAATTGCAGAAAATAATTAATGGATATGAATATTAATGAATCCTGGATTGCCGTTGGAGTCGGGCGAAATAAATGTAAACAGGGCTCTTAAGCAACCCAGCAGTTAGAGCGAGAGACGGTAAGAGACGCAAACGAGACGAGACAACGACAGACGAAGGAACTGCTGAAACAGACGTGACCTGCTGCTGAGAGAATTCCCGACCGACCTCTTTCTGAGTCTGCTCCAAGTTTTAGAAGAAAAAGACAGATTGTCACGATAGAGAATTTTACGGGAAGCGTTAATCTTGTATCAAAAACTATATAAACCAAATGGAAATTAACCAGGCGACTTTTTTTATTTTGTTATATAATTTTTATTTTCGGCATCGGAAGCGTTCCTTTTCCTTTTGTAGCACGGTTCCGCCACGGACCAATTCAGCGGTGATGTACGGATGAACTTCACTGCTCTGTGGTCAAGGAACACAACGTGGGACTGAAGCACGTGAAGAAATAGAGCAGAAATCTGGTTATTATATGTTGACCGGCTGCAATACTGACCAGCATCGAGTTGGGTCGGACGGCTATTTTCTTTGTTTCAAATGAGATTTTGCTGCTTCTTAATACTTTGCATAGCTTTACAAAGACATCTGCCGCTATTCGAATGCGCCTTTGGATTTCTCTCTTACATCTTCCGCTCGCTTTTTAATATTTCCTAAATATTTAATTGATAATAATAAAATAAAACAAAACATTTTCTATAAATATCACAAAAGTAAACCTATATAACGGGTATAGTATGACGTGAACGCAATTTCTTTTAATGAAGTCAGAACATCACATATATATTTTTGTATTAATGAAATGTACTCGACTCAACAAAGAAATTAATATTTTTTTTTTTTAATTAGAATTTGTGATGTAAACCTATATATATATATATATATATATATATATATATATATATATAAAATCAAATCCGTAAGGATGTGTTTTTAATATAAAATGAAGAGAGTTCTGTATTTATATACAGAGAAATATGATATACATAAAAAGTCTAAAAGAAAAGAGTCAAAAAATGAATAATATTATTTATTTTTCACTCATTTATATATATATATATATATATATATATATATATATATATATATATTGATGATATTTTATTGATGTAGATTTTGTAATTCGCTCTGATGAAACAGATATTAAAAAAAATACCAGTCGAAATAAATTCATTGCCGAGTTATTCATTGATGTGTTAAAATTTTTCTTTCTTGATATATATATATATATGTTAATAAAAAATAATAATACCCAACGCCGACATTACAACTGAGAGTTTCATGCACTTGGCAATCATTAAGTATAAATAAGCTAATAATAAATGGGTTTAAATTTATAGGTTTTGCGGCGTTAGGGTAGCTGAATAATTTATTATTACTATTAACGATTTAATTGTACTATAATCTAAATTTAAATTTATGTTTGAATTTACAAATAATTAAAAATAAATAATTAAATTTAAAAATTGCAATCTCCAATTAGAACTAAAAAAGCGGAGATCTCTCGTAGCTGTACACATTAAAAAGGGATTCATGCTATGTTTCAAGGGGATACCTTTTTTATTGCCTTTGGTAAAACACTTAAAATTTGAAAGCGATAATAAAAACAACAATAGGTAACAACCATAATAAAATAATAATAATATTAATAATATTAGTAATATAATAATGTGTCATACTACTACTACTACTAATAATAATATGATTATGATGATGATGATAATAATGGTAATAATATTAATAATAAAATACTAACAATATTAATAATATTAATAATAATAGGTAATTAATAATAGTATATATGGGGTCCGAATGAGAAAACACTTTAGTAATCTGGGTCAACCTGCTTGTGCATGTATTTGTTTCTAGGTCTGCATGTGGGTTTTAATTCATTTCTTTTCTTTCACATATTACGGTTTTCTATATGTTTTAGAATTACAAGTTTTTCTAAAAGACATAAATTATATTTATTACCGTTTCTGCTGAAAGGATTCGCATTTGCTACGTAATCCAGAAAAATTTAAAGAGAGCAGTGTTGTTACTATATTTAATAATGCCTGGGGTCAGGCATTGGTGATGGTAAAAACATGATTTCCAATGGTTTTTCAGTTGAACCAAAATGTGACCACGCCATCATGTTTGATGTAGCTCTATAAATTATACCTTTAATCATGCACTTGCCGTTCAGCGGAAAGGTCTTGTTTTTTTTTCAGCCGTTGCATTAGTTTCTTGTAGGGTTACTTTTATCTTGTCGGTTGGCTAAGTGATTGTTCAGTATAACATTGTTCCACTGTGATATATATTTGTCACAGTTTTTAGCACAACTATAGCTAACATTGAAAATCTTTTTTAGTGTTAGTGTTGCAAAATGATTATGCCTTAAATTCATGAAAGATTTTCCAATGTTAGTTTTGACATTGCTGCTAAAAGGTGAGTTAAACCATATGATATTGCGTTTAGGCAGTTTAGGTTTGTTAATATCTTTTTTCTTTATATCTATGTACACTAGGTTTACTTCATGGTTAGTTTGTTCTAAGGCTTTTACATATTTACTTTTGTACTTGTCAAAGATTACCTTCTTACTAGACTTGGTTAAAAGCCTAAATTTATGTAAATTAACATAAGCATGTTTATATATTAATATATACTCAATAGCTCTATTAGATTGCATTGAACACTATTTTATTTACACCAAAGGATATGTATATAAATACTAGAAGGTACATTTATTTATTTATTTGATTATATATACATATATATATATATATATATATATATAGAGAGAGAGAGAGAGGGAGGAGAGAGAAAGTATATATATATATATAGAGAGAGAGAGAGAATATATATATATATTTAGAGAGAGAGAGAGAAGAGTATATATATATATATATATAGAGAGAGAGAAGGAGAGAAGTATATATATAGAGAGAGAGAGAAAGTATATATATATATAGAGAGAGAGAGAGAGAAAGAGATATATATATATATATATATATAAAGAGAGAGGAAGAAAGAAAGTATATATATATATATAGAGAGAGAGAGAGAGGAGTATATATATATATATATATATATATATATATATATATATATAGAGAGAGAGAGAGAGAGAGAGATGAGAGAAAGAGAAAGGGTGAGAGAGTGAGAGTTCAGAATTCAGAAATGCGCACCTAAACGAAAGGTTTGTTGAAATGGATAAAGTGTAAGGTGAAGTGATAGAGAAAGAGAGAAAGGAAAGTGTGGAGAACAATCATTGACAACATACTGAAAGAACATACACATAGAGTAAAAGAGTGAAGAGATGCCTTCTATGATAATGAATTCCACAACAATTTCTAATGATTGTTTACGTCATTAACACGTGAACAATTGACCTCAAATTTGTGTCCTCTGAGAGAGAGAGAGAAAGAGAGAGAGAATTGTCACTTGTAAAAGGAAAGTAAGAAAAACTAACCGTACTGAAACCAAGCCTTCCAAAGTAGGAATCATGAACAAGAATAAAATATAGGTAAAATAAGGCTCAATACAATTTCATGTCTCTAAGATCGAACGCTCTTTTGTGTTTGTATTCCTATATATATATATATATATATATATATATATATATATATATATAATCAAAAAGAATTCCCTAAATTTAGGGCCAAATTTCCACTTCCAACCTAAATCTGACCTTATCACAAACAAAACTGAGAATGAAATTCTATACCAGTCATTATGACAACTTAAGGCACGTAGAGACATATCAGTTCACACAGTCCTGAGAAACCTCCTCAAAGCCGAAGGCTTGAAAAATCACTCCCCTGGTAACAACTACAATAATATCTTAACATCTACAATAAAATGTTAACAACAATACTAAAAAACACAGCGAAAGAACTAAAAAAACAACCCTAACATTCTCATCAGATGAACTGAAAAAGCTTATACACACGCAATTTTGGATAAAGCCGATTATCACAGAAAATTACAAAATGTTATCGGAGACCGAACAATTTCACTAAATGGAGATTCCAAAAATGTCCGTCAACAAACTAATTAACAGCCCACAACACGATGAATAAAATAACATGTGTTTTTTATTTTTCCTCAATAATTCTAAAATTTTAAACTAAATATAGATTAAATTTACATTTTTTATAATGGGTAGTTTTTAATTTTAATATCAAATTTTATCGTAAGTTTTAATACTTATTAGAATAAATTTTATTTATAGTATAAACCCAACTTTAAAGCATTTAATATTTATTATAACCTTACTTCGTTGTCAAGCTTTTGGAATTCTCGTATACTTGTATTTTGATTGGTCATTTCAGCTCATGTAACAGCGTTTCCCCTTACGAGGGGTGGTTAATTAATTTGAACCTTTCAAAAGCTTTATTCTACAATCTACTTTCAACATCATCACTTGCTAAGACACCAGAGGTGTTGAGACAAAATGGCTATTTTTGTAATGATTTTAGAACATATTTATGTTATAATTTTTAAATAAATATTTATATTCGCTCTACTATGTACTGAGCACTCTTTTAAGAATAGTAATTGTTGTTTATTGGAATTTATTCCGTATACACCAATCATATACTTGGGTATATATATATATATATATATATATATATATATATATATATATATATTTGTGTGTGTGTGTATACGTGAACGCATTTTGTTATAACATCTTTTCTCAACATTTAAGAAAGATTTATTTTTATAAATTCATAGTGACAATAATATTTCCTGGGAATGTTTGTATTCTATATTTTAATAAAATATTGTATTCTAATAATAAATGTAATTCATGTTTGGTGCAGATCAATCATTTGAAGAATATTTGACCAACCATCGTGTAGCAACTACATATCTGAAGGTTATATTCATGGAAAATGCACTAACCCTAACCCTTGACTTCCAAAACAATTTTTTATATTCTCATTTTCAACACAATGATGCATAACATCGATGCACTTGAATAATTTGTTGAAATCTTTCGTTTCTAGTGCGTCATTTAATCGTGACCATTACTGCGTCTACGTTGTATTAAGTCGTTTACCCACTTTTAAGTAATTTAGTATAAATTATTTCTTTTGACTATATATATATATATATATATATATATATGTGTGTGTGTGTGTGTGTGTGTGTGTATTTAGGCAGTAAATTTTCTTTAAGGCAAACTTTATTAAAGACAACAGACATTTTGTGTCGATTATTTTACTGATCATCTTTTCAAAATTACGAATGATTCTTCTCAGACTAGGAGGAAATTTTGCCAGAAATCTTCCGAAGTTCATTTTGAAGAAATATAGTCCAAGCTTTAGACATTCTTAAGTCACCATCATCATCAGGGTAGATAGAGACAAATTATGAGTATTTTCACGTGGCAAATTGTGATGATTTGCACATTCAAAAAAAAAATAAATAAATAAAATAAAATAAAGAATACGTCTAAAAAAGCATCGTACGGATTAACATGATTTTCGAGAAAATGTGTGTAATACGCCAATCTTACAGCTGTTCAAGTTGTAGCGTAATAAATACATCTTAGAGCCTTATACCCTTCAGAAAAATACAGGAATTTAAATATTGTAGAGAAATATACTCATATTAGAGATTTGCAACTTTTCAAGAAATACTATCATCTTAACGTAACACATTTTAAAGAAATCCACCCACTTAGGAGTTCAAATAATATTAATTTAAACATTCGAGAGAACTCCACTCCTCTTATATGTATAAGCATTTTTGTTTTCCACTGGAGCCCTGACATCATCAATTTAAGCGTGCTACTAGATTGGCATCTCGGTGTCTCAGGTTTACTGGTGAAATTGTTAAACAACCACTGCTTCTACTTCATTTCTCGCACTTCCCGCCTGTGAAAGTCCGTTGTGCTTACTCGCTTAATAATACATATTTCTGCATTTTAGAGTCATACACCAATATTACAACTTGACCTTTAGTCTAAAAGGCCCACATTAAATAAGAAATACTCATATCATATAGATACATTAGTATAATACGCCCTTCAACATTTTAGTGTAATACACCAATATTTCAACTCAATACATTTTAGTCTAAATCGCGCTACTTAGGCATGTAAACATTTTACCAAAACACCCACATCGTATAGATTTATATAATTTAGCGTAATACGTGATATGTTGGCTAACTCAGACAAGAAACTAGGTAAAACCCGCACGGTTATGGTGCGGATAGACACTTACGGTCAATCGTCAATCAAATTGAGACCCCATAGAACACCCATCCACAAGTCGCCCTAGTAGTGGTTCGAGATATGTTAGAGGCAGAGATGATCGAGAGATCTGAGTGGTCTAGGAGCATTCCCATAATGGTAGTGGATAAGAAAGATGGCGGGAACAGATTCTGTGTCAAAGTTAGGCGGGTGATCTCGAAGCCACTAGCAGCGCACCGGCCACTGATAGATGACATACTGGCCCTTCTGAGGAAGGCTAAGTACTTCTCCACCATAAATGTGAGATCGGGATATTGACATATGGCCATGGCCGATAGAGAGAACGACGCATTTGCGTGCCACTTGGGCCTGGTCTAGTTTGAGATCGTGCTGTTCGCTTTGGCCAATATCGCGTGTATTTTTCAGTAACTAATGTCCATAGTGCTGAGCGGGATTGAAGATTTCATCATGACCTATTTGGACGACATTCTGTTGTTCTCAAAGAAGTCTGAACAACATTTCGACCACTTGAGTCAGGTGTTGGGTCGATTGAGAAAACACGGGTTAAAGCTGAAATTATCGAAGTGACAGTTTTTTAAGGGGGAAACCAAATACCTGTTATTCATTATAGATGGAAGGGTGATTGGAGACAAGTTGGAGGCAATAATGGAAATCCCTGACCCGAAGACGGGGAGATAAGTGAGAGGGGTCATAGCGGCCATTGGTTATTATACACGATTCATTCTTACATTTTCTAGATTGGCAACCCTATTTTAGCATTGAATAAAAAGTTTGCTAGTTTCAGGTGTACAGAAGACTGTCACAAATCGTTTGACTACCTGAAGGAGCAATTGACTGCTATCTCCTGCTGACATATCCAGATGTCAGTAAGGCAATGGTCCTCTCCACCGATGCTAATAAGCAGTACATAGAAGCAGTCCTTACACAACCATGTTCGGACAGAGATGGTCCAGTGCAAGGTACACCGTAGGAGGTACTGGTGCATTTTCTATCACACACTGACTCTCGAAGACATAACAGAGATGACAGGCATACGCTATCATGTACACCTATCGACGATTCGATCCTTTTCAGCCTTATGATCAAAATCAAACACAACTTAGGATAAGGTAAAGATTGTATCGAAGAGATCAACACAACGATCAGACGCAGGGATTAGACATTGGATGGACTGGCAGAGAAAAAGGCTACAGATTTATATGTTTTAGCATAATAGGCCTTTCCACATTTTAGAGTAATACACCTCGACATATTTTAGTCTAAAACGCCAACCTTAAACATGAGACATATTCACATTTTATAGATTTATATAATTTAGCATAATACGCCTCTTCATATTATTCAATGTTTCGACTCGACACATTTTAATCTAAATCACACCTACCTTAGAGTCTGAAACATTTCAGTATAGTACATATTTCAATATTTCAGAGGACGCTCATCTTACAGTTTGACACATGATCGAGAAATACACACATCTTTATGATTTACACATTGTAAAAAAATACCCATCTTCTTATGATTTATATATTGTAATAAAACCATTTTACAGTTTACGACGTCTTATAACTATTTCCTGATGAAAGAGAGAAACTTACAATGCACAAAAATGGGTAAAAGCCGGAAATATTAACATCTGAAGTAACGTCATTGGACAAGATGTACAGGAAAAAAGCAATAGGACCAGATTGGATGGTAATTGAGCTGCTCGCAGATTTGGATGATTTTCGAAAAGATTACAGAAGTAATAAAACACATATACGACAATCGGGACATTCAGGAAAACTCAGCAGATCTATCTTCCTAAGAATGCGAAACAGAATTAGACCGAATACAGGACAAAAACTGTGTGGCTTAGTTATGGGAATTGGGTCAGGAAATGCGATATTCATTAATAGAAGGATATCAGAAAGAGCGATACAAATGCAGAAGAATATAAATTTTAGCGATTACGCAAAAAAATTGACAAGATACAGAACAAGGATTTATTTGAAATGTTAGGAAAACAGATCTATTCGAAAAGAATGTTACAATAATCCAGAACTTACACTGGGAGGAAGCCGACTGCATCCGGATAGAAAACGAATGAAGTAGGTACATAGAAATAAAAAAGGGGTGTAAGACAAGGAGAGGCCTTCTCACCAGAACTGTTAGCCTTCTACAGTGATAATAAGGAGCGTGGGGACTCTAAAGAGGAATTATAAATGGGGTTTGCAACCATAACAATATAAAATACGCAGATGACACTGTGTTGATAGTAAACATAAGCAGGAATCTACAAGTTCTCCTAGACAAGGTAGGAAAAGAAAGGGAGAGACAAAAGCCATTAAATGTAAGAAGACAAAAGCCATTAAATGTGCGAAGACAGAAAGGATGATTATCAACATGAGAAAAAGCCCAAGATGCGAACATCGAATTCAAAATGTAAATATTAAACAATACAGGAGTTTAAATATCAGCTCAATTTTTTTAACAGAAGACGGAAAATGCTCCCCACACATCGAATTAACAAAACGAAATGCATTCCAAAAGTTAAAATAATGGCTTAATCAAGAGGCTGACATTCCACAGTACTTTAAACAAAAGATAAAGAAAGAGACACAACCATCAGGACTGGAAAGACTGATAGCAGCTACTAGACATGAGAAACGTTTTTTCTTGAATATTGTTTAAAGAGAACGATTTTAAATATTTCAACTGATCGATCAATGAATACAAGAACATGAGAATACCAGAATAAAAGAATACAAGAAGAAAAAACCCACCAATACTGGAAAGAGTGATAAGAGTGATTGAACTTGTGAAACCTATTTTACTGATAAATTGTTTTAGGAGAAAGATTGTATAAATTTGAACAGTGACGCTGGTTGCTCGGTTAATGAATGTCAATTTTTTCTTTATAAGAAAACAGCTAATATCATGATGCGAATATGACATATGTCACCAGATATACGATTTTTCAGGGTGTTATTTGTATAGTAAGTTCTACATCATTTTATAGAATTCGAGAAGTCCTTTGGTTGCCCCCGCAAAAAATTGAGTCATATATATATATATATATATATATATATATATATATATATATATATATATCAACATGAGTATAGATAGATAGATATGAAGAGATTAAGATAGAGAGATAGAAAAATAAATCGTGGCTTGGTTTCGCAAAACGATCAGTCTGTTCACCTCGACTTCAGGCACGTTTGTGACTGCTAAGTCCAATGCGGGACAGGCATACACGGTCGCAGCATTTGTAGCTGAAAGTCCGGCCTAGGCTCTATGGCACAGCGTTGCAGTTCTTCCTTCTCTGCCTCTTGTCCTTGAGAGCGGCCCTGCAGGTATTTTCAAAGAAAGAGACAGCATGGTTGGTCGTGTGATTCCAGGCGTTATTGTTCTGTCTAGGATTTAGTTAGATAAATAAATAGATATGAACAAAATTACATAGATAGATTGATAGATAGATAGGTTACAAACATTTCAGAGTGTTTTTTCATCCTCTGCACTCTCCTCAATTTGAGGAGAGTGCAGGGGATGTGGAAAGGGTTGGATGAATCTAATGGTGATTACGATGCTTTTTGGAGTAACCACTAGTGATGTCGACGTTATAACTCCATTCGTCTTCCTACTCAACACAAATGCCTATATCAATTGCCTTGTGGAGGTAGACTACCTTGGATCAAAAGGGTGCCTGCTAGAAGACTCTATGTCTGCACCATGTCACACAAGAAGGAGAATTTAGTTATGACTAAAAGCGACCACATCACCATTTGCATCTGGTCACCTAACTCCCTAGACTGGAAACCCTTTGATTATTATGTGTAGGGCGCAGTTGAGCGAGAGACTAACAAAACTCCTTATAGCACCAAAGATGGACTGAAGGCAAAGATTATGAAAGCATTCACCAACTTAAACAAGGCGACCATGCAGTAGACTTCAAAGTTGTCACGAAGCCGTGGTTGAAGTCAATGGTGAGTTTATTGAATAAATTCGCTTTAGTATTTCAAGATATGGTTGCTTAAATTTGGTAAATATATCTATTAAAATGAGATGTCAGTGTTATTTTCTTTATATATCGCACTCGTCCTCGGTCTGACAATAAACTACATCCGCGTCCTGGGTATGAGGATAAGCTACATCTGTGTCCTGGGTAAGACGATAAACCCTGATCCGAGGTGATAGTACCTGTTAGGGTCACAGCTATGGGCAAATAGTTAACACTCAGATTATATTCGCGTCCTGAGTATAACGATAAACTACGTCCAACAGCAAGGCCTCTGATAGTAGGTTTTTGAAAAAATAATGTTGCCAGCTATTAGTTCTTGAAAAATAAAAAAAATATTACCAGCTATACGTTTTTGAAAAATAAAAATAATATTACCAGCTATACATTTTTGAGAAAAAAAAATAATAGAAATGGATTTTTCACAAAACAAAAATATTACAAAGAAAAAAAATGTCTGCATTAAATGACCCATTGAGGTTGATATGCCGTAAAACAAAACAAAACAAAGAAACATACATTGCACCATGGAGATAGATAGATAGATAGATAGATAGATAGATAGATAGTGAAAAGTCTGAAATAGATAGATAGATAGATAGATAGATAGATAGATAGATAGATAGATAGATAGTGAAAAGTCTGAAATAGATAGATAGATAGATAGATAGATAGATAGATAGATAGATAGATAGTGAAAAGTCTGAAATAGATAGATAGATAGATAGATAGATAGATAGATAGATAGATGAGTGAAAAGTCTGAAATAGATAGAGATAGATAGATAGATAGATGAATGATAGTGAAAAGTCTGAAATAGATAGATAGATAGATAGATAGATAGATAGATAGTGAAAAGTCTGAAATAGATAGATAGATAGATAGATAGATAGATAGATAGATAGTGAAAAGTCTGAAATAGATAGATAGATAGATAGATAGATAGATAGATAGATAGATAGTGAAAAGTCTGAAATAGATAGATAGATAGATAGATAGATAGATGGTGAAAAGTCTGAAATAGATAGATAGATAGATAGATAGATAGATGAATAGATAGATAGATAGATAGTGAAAAGTCTGAAATAGATAGATAGATAGATAGATAGATAGATAGATAGATAGTGAAAAGTTTGAAATAGATAGATAGATAGATAGATAGATAGATAGATAGATAGATAGATAGATAGATAGATTGCACCATGGAGATAGATAGATAGAAATATAGTGAAAAGTCTAAAATAGATAGATAGATAGATAGATAGCACCATGGAGACAGACAGATAGAAAGATAGTGAAAAGCCTGAAATAGATAGATAGATAGTGAACAGACTGAGATAAATAAATAGCTAGTAAATATACTTAGCTAGAGAGAATGATAGAGAACACATTCCAAATCTTTTTCACACAAAAGCTGCATTGCAAAGCCTTTATTGTTTTCAATTCATGTACCAAAGAGAAATTCACTTCCTCCTATATAAACCATTAACGAAAGAAGAGGAAAGTGTCATGATATTTAACCTTGTCCATAAATCATGGCAAGAGCCTTGCTCTCCGAGATGCATCCCATCACCTGCTCAGCCAAATGGTATTTATATATTCTTTGTCATTGTTTTTACTTGTTTTTTTTTCTTTGTAACCGAGTGATTACAACGCAACGTATTCTTGGTACTGCAAATCTGCAGCTGCCTGCAGACGAACGTTTCAATCAACAAGTAAAAAGTAATTTAAAAAAGATTAAAAATTTAGTTTCTTTTTGTATTTGCTTTGTTATGTTTTACAACATGAAAATATCATTTTCCTTCTAACATTCTTTTCTTCTTACAATCTACCCTCTTATATATTTTCTTTCTTTATTCCATCTTTTGGTTTCTATTCATCCGATTGTATCTATCATTTATTTAGGATTATCCCTGAGTTCTTATAGGTTTCAGACAGATAGGTAAATAGTGAGAGCATGTCTAATTAAACGTAATATATTTATCAATATCTGTCTATATCTCTGAGATGAGATATTACTTATAATATTTACATTATTCGGACTGTTATCCGTATCTTTATTGCCATATTCACAAAGTTTCGGTCGTTGTACGCTCCGGCCTTATTCAGGTGATTGGAATTTCGAACCGAACTCTTTATTTCCCCCAACGGGGTAGATTTTTCTATTTCCACGTGCCGTGCATCTTGAGGGTGTCTCAGTTATTTCCCTTTAACTCAACTTTCCAAGCTGTTGGTTTACCACTGCTTTGGGCTGGTATTGAACTCACAACACTTTGGGTCTAGTCACTGGATCTAACCAACGTCTTTATCGACAATACCCAGTGGATGAAGACGCTGGTTAGATCCAGTGACTAGACCAAAAGAGTTCAATAACCGAAACCTCTTCACAAGGCGGGAAGTGGCTCAAGGCCGGTTTTTAAAGTGGGGCTTTCCGCGGGAGTACGCTCGGGCAAAAATTCGCCGTAGACCTCGCATACACGGTGCACGGTGGCTGTCTGCCTCCCCAGATTGAGACTCTCCCCGTAGGCTTAGCCTCATCTGCGTTCCCCCCCCCATGCCCGAAAGCAGAGAGCCGATAAGTAGAGTAAGAATTAATCGTGGACTCCTTGTTATTTACCAGACATTGCCACAAGGAAGGACGTGGCACAAGGCCGGTTTTTTAATGTGGGGCCTTTCGAGTGCGTACGCTTGGGGAAAAATCCACGTAGACCCCGAATAGACGGAGTCTGGTGGCTGTCTACCTCCCTAGACAAGACTCTGCCTGTAAGTATATGCTGTTACTTCCCAACAGTAACATTACAGAAAACCTGACATTTTTACAGGACGCAAATTTTGCACGGAGTGACGTGCTTGACATTTAATTATTAACTGAAGAGTATGTTGATCCTTTAATAAAACTAAAGTTATCGACAAAATTTCTGAGGAGAGCAAGGATGGCCAAATCTCTTTTAATATTTGACCGAAATTCATTTTTTTCACTTTCTCAACTTTTTGACACATCATTTCGGACATTTTAAGTTGATTGACTTTCTTTTCATTTCGTTTAACAACCAAAATTTTCGGAGACCCACAAATCGCATATATATAAGGGAGGAGTTCCTAACGTTAATCGTCTACTTAATTAAGAGTTTTTGAACAAACTCTTTTGAATTTCATATATATAAAATCCATATATTTATGTAAGGTCTATATAATTAATTTAATAAAAGTAATATCTTCTACTTATAATAAATAATAACAATTATGATGTAATTGCAAATTGACTATCACAAGTTTTTTTTTTCTGTAGTTCAAAAACTACTGAAAATTGTACAGAGTTCTGAAACACAGGATTGCTTTATTTTCTAACTTTTTTCTTTCATTCTAGGCTTTTAAATATTTTTCTTATTTCTTTTTTTTTTTTGACTTCTCACTTTGTTTTCTTTCATTTTCGCCCAGACAATGGGACCACTTAAATATTCGCGCCTTGTGGGAACGATTCAACAATGCTTCGCTTTGTTGTCTTTAATGGAACGTAATGATACTAATAAGCCAATCTGATTCAACACCAACAAAAAAAACAACAATAAAAAGACACGAAGCTAAAAGATGAAAACTAATGTTGATCATCAACATTGTTTTGATAATGAAATACTCTCTGACTGCTTTTTAAAACTTTTAAAAGTCATCTTCCCTTATGATGGGGATATTATCATTTCTTCGTTAGCAACTTAATAAGAGTGATTGAAATTCATGACACGGTCATCAACAGAAACATTATCATTAAAGGCCTCAACATCATAGCCATCATTATCTTTATCATTATCTCAATAGCGGCCTGTCATAGATTGATGATTATTTAGTCTAATTTTTTCTTATATTCACTCCGTTATTCCGGCCTTGAATCTGACTATGTTGAATAAACAGAGAAGATATAGAGAAATCTATATCGAGGGAACATCTTCATAGTAATATATATATATATATATATATATATATATATATATATATATATATATATATATATATATATACACCTAGTAGCCAGACAAAACTACCTAGGTTTCACCTAAACGGATCATCAGGAAAAGTAAGCCTTACTTTCCTGACGATTCGATAAGCGTGAAACCTAAAACCAAATTGTCTGGCTCACTAGGTGTCTAAATCTAACTCTACGGTTGTATTGAGCTCTTTTGTTTAGTTAGTTGTTACTCGTATCAGGGTTTTTCTTTGGACTTCGGACCTGCATCTGTGCGATTTTTGTCGGCAGAAGTTCATGCTTGTAGCTCTTTCTTTTTTTAAAAATTTTCCCCTCGAGATTGATTTGATTATTAGCAAATCAAAAAAATTCGAGGGTTTTTCAAACAAACCTAGTTATCTATAATTATTATATATATATATATATATATATATATATATATATATATATATATATACACAGACACACACACACACACACATATATATATATATATATATATATATATACACACACAGACACAGACACACACACACACACACACACACACACACACACACACATATATATATATATATATAAAAGAAATATAGTCTTAAGTTGTGCTATATTTATGGGATAAAGTGCTCAATATCAGAGATAGAGCGTGTGTAAATATAAAAGTGAACATATAAGTCAACACTTAGAGGCGACAGTCTGTTTCATACATATATGCAATCGTCAGGCCACATTTCTCGAGAAAAATAAAATCCATATGTGGCCTGAAAATTTGCATATAAGAACTTTTATATTTATTTATATATATATATATATACACACACACACACACACACACACAAATATATATATATATATATATATATATATATATATATATATATATTCACACATCGTGCTGGAGTTATATATATGATAGAAAGAGATTACTTAATTTTAATATCCATTTGTGTTGTTGTTTTCCCCGACTTCGAAGTTTCTTGATAATGACCATGATTCAAGGAGTTTTGTTTCAATCAGTTTTGTACACCTATACATTAATGAACTTAAAGTTCTTTTACAGGCGCACGTTCATGAATTTTTGCTTTTGTTTACGCCTTCGTTTTTTTTCAGTGCTAGATTATTATTCCAGTTATAAATTTTTCGAAATTAAATTTTTTTTCGAAATTATATGTATTTATTTTTTCTCTCTTTCACTCTAACCCTCTCTCACTCACTCTCTATCACTCTCTATTTCTCTCTCTCTTTATCCCTCTCTTTCTCTCTCTCTCTATATATATAGATATTTTTTATTAATTTGTATTCTATGGCTTATCAACTGCTTCCAAGTTATTTAAAGGTAGAAAATATTTTTCCATTGTATGATTTGTTGGTGGGTAGAGATAATATGGATTTAGTGATACAAGTATTACTAATTCACCCATAGCTGGTCGGAGAAGAGGTGGATTTCGAATTTAATTTTGTGATTAAATTAAAGACATTAGTTCCATGTATTTTAATTTAATCACAAAATTAAATTAAATTAAAATACATGGAACTAATTTATAATATTAATGCTCTGTAAATTTACATTGAGCACTATTTTGTAAAAATAAAAATATCTATAAGAACACCGGATTATATATCTTGCTGTTTTTTCTTTATATATATATATATATATATATATATATATATATATATATATATATATATATATATATATATATATATATATCCCTGATTTTAATAAAACATATATATATATACAGTGGTTAATAAAACAATGTTCGGTGTATAATAACATAAGTAAAATTTATACTAATATTAAAAACATATTGAAATATTTCTGAGTTTCATGCACATGCCAATTGTCTAGTAGGGATGGGAATCTGATCATTGTAAAATTTACATATTAATATTTACAAAATATTACATAAGTTCTGTCCGAATTTTGAATCAAGAAAACAAGTTACATTTAATTACAGATTCAATCAACAATGTATTTTCCCTGATTATCTACGGCTTCCTTCCATCTATTAACAAGCTTACTAATTTCATTACTGTAAAATTCTTTTGGCTTTGATTCGAAAAACTCACAAATGTCAGTTTTAGCCTCTTCCTGTGTTACAAAAGCTGTTTCTTCCAAATGATTCTGTAAGCTACGAAACAAATGGTAGTCTGAAGGAGCAAGATCGGGAGAATAAGGTGGATGAGGAACTTTCTCCCAACCAAGTTCTTCGATCTTTTCTTACATGATTCTTGCTGTGTCGGGTCGCGCATTGTCCTGATGAAACATCACCTCTTTTCGATTCACTAGAGCAGGTCTTTTATTCCTCAAAGCTTGGTTCAAACGCTCGAATTTCTGACAGTATATTTGAGAATTAATTGTTGCATTAGG